GTGGCAAGACGACCACTTATTGAACTACATAAACCCCAAATCCTAGATAAAGCTCAGAAGAGTTGAAAGGATCTAGAAAGGAACATTGTTACGCAATGGGATCAGCGGGATGAAGCCAGAAAGGGGCACGGACCAGCGAGCTCGAGGGTCCACCTGAGGCTGGGGGATTGTAGGGACGGACAGTACCGGAAGCTAGATCGTAAGAACCAAGCCCCGGGCCAATGTAATAGATGGAGTTAGGCTTGAGCCCTGGGTACATGTTTGCCGAGACAGAGAAGGATTCATTCATGCTGCCAAGGAAGATGCAGAGATCTCCAATATCTTCCATGTAACAAAAGTCTATGCTTTTACCATCTTCCCTAAAGACCATGAACCGCTTGGTAATGCTATGGATGACTTCGTATTCCGAATCTTTGTCCTCTTTGTTAATGTACGGTCTGCGAATGCACTGTGTGTACCTAGGCATAAAAAAAAGCAGCTCAATCTCAACTAGAATGTTCATTTCGAAATACTCTTCTAAGAGATAAAACATACTTACCACTTGATGAAGAAAAGTTCACCAGAGGTAGATTCCACCAAGTGTTTGCTCATGAAACATTGATCCAATATCTCCCAACCTACTTCAGGGATCTTAGGCAGGTTTCGAAGGCGTAGATGTTGGTACTTAAGCTTCTTATTGCTGAGATCTAAAGTACCGATGTAGAGACCCTTAAAACTTGTAAAGTAGAAAGCTTTGTCTCTCTTGGAATATATGAGATCAGAGGCTGGTAAAAGCGAGTAAGCGGTCTCTATGTGAGTCCACTTAGCATCCCAATAAGGCTTGCATACGCTTAGCCGACACTCACTGAACTTTGCAGCCACAATAAAATCGTTTTGAGCAGGATCACAAGTAGAGAGAGACACTTCCGTGGCATGTATTGAGGGTTTAAAGTCGAGTGGAGGTAATGATATGACTCTTGGAGATGAGACGCATGGCTTGTAAAGATCCGTGATGTGCACGGTAAGGTCCTTGTTACCCACGGAAGCGACCCAACCTTGTGGTGCTCCCACAAGAGTTTGCCCATTGAGCTCCTTGGGAAGCTTCTTCTCCTTGCTATACACTCTCTCTACCGTTCTCGGGTCGAAAAACCAGTGATTTACGATTATGCCCTCCTGAGACTCTCGCAAGGTGTTGCTTCCAAGCAGCAAATACGGGGACTGAGGCAATGATGAGAAGAAACGAGCATTGTCTCTCAATGCCTGTCAAGTTCCATG